CAGGAACAAAAACCCTGCTTTCCTCCCCTGAAGAGTACAACTCAGTTTTGAACTTGGCCCAACCATAGGATTGTGGGTCAGAGAAAGACTGCAGAGGAATAAAAAAAAGAGAAGAGCAGAATGTGAAAGGCCATTGGGGAAGGCATGTCCCTGCCTTGATGCCTTTGCATCCTCCCTTGGCACAACAAGGTCTAAGGGAGAGAGCTCTCAAGGATGCCAATGATGCTTTCCTGAACTGTCTCTTTGATCCCTAGAGTTACCACAGCCCAAGGAAAGTCAGTTTGTCTCCTCAGGGAGAGCAAAATGTAATGAGAGACAAGACTAGGAGGACCTATCCTGTTTTAGTATGTCATAAAAATGAAAAAAGTATTAGATGCATAAAACTGGTTTGCATTTTTTTGCATAAATTTTAATATGATGGGGTGTCTGAGTGTGTAAAGGCATCCGAAGTTCAAACGGGCCTCATGATGGTGGGGTTAACGCTGGAAGGGGTTAACGCTGGAGCTTTGCATGACATTCTGGCAGATCAGAATCTTGTGGCAGTAAAAACTGATGAGCATCATGCCTCTGGGCCTTTGCAAACTTGAAAATGCTTGTAGCAAGCAGCATGCAGTAAAGCCATCTCAGAAAAACACGTTATCTATACTTAGATTCTATGACTTTTAAAGGAGGGATGAGGCACTTTGGCTAGATAGAAATACATACAGAGCCTCCCTTGTGTGCCACTCTTCCCTTCCCATGCAGGCAATTGAAAGTCATCAGAAAAATTAGTAAGCCCAGTTCTACCACGAATTCTATCACTAATGCAGCTTTACTGCCTCCTGTGGCCCTACTTGCTGCAAGAACAGTAGGATACTGCATGTCCACATTTGCACTGCAAGTCCACATGCATATTTGCCCTATTGAAAAATGTCTGCTGTTTTGCTACACCTTACAATGTATTCCCTCATTTACTTTATAATCTAGAAATCATTAAAATGCAGATCTTTCTCTGTGCTCATCTAATTAAAGCAAAGACAGTTTTCTCTAGAATTCACAATGAATTCTAAGAACATAATTGGCAATGCATCATGCAGACCAGGCTGATGGAACTGATTGCTTGAAAACTCTGTTTCTACACCACGATTCCCTCGCTATTTCATCTCGCCTGCAGAACCTGCTTTGAACACAAAGACGAGTCTGTTTGAATGCCTGTCAGGTGTGCCTTTCCACTTCTGTGTTGCAGCGGAAAATATAAATTCTGCATTCGAAAACTAATCTCTCACATATCCAAATATGATCTAATTTTCAGGAAGCTGAGCATTCCTAATGCCGTGCAAAGAAGCCTGAAGTGCACAGATGTATTTAACTCAGGAATACCAGCAACCCCTCAAAAGCTCCAATGTGTCTTTATATATTTGTAGTGGGGATTTTGTGATTATGGTTGTTCAGGGATGAAGGAGAAACACTAAAGGTCAGCAATGGTTTTTGGGTCTAACGTCCTTGGGTATAGTTAGTATATATAAAATTCAAATATAAATGTATGGTTCTATCTTTAGACACTACTGGGCAAGGTAGTTCTCTCCAGCAACTCGCAGTTACTTCACCAAGTGACAGCAGAAAACACTAAGAATGACTGGAGGTCCCCAGTAGTCATAAGGTCAGATCTGGCAAAGTAACAGCTAAATAATTATGTTTTAATGCCAAAAAAGAAGAAGAAGAAGAAGAAAAAACCCTACTGCATAAAGGCAGGTGTCATATAGTTATATGTGTCATAGTGTTACCACCTCTGTAGCATGTGTGACCATTAGGGCATTTGCTATTTTTGCTTTGACATAACTCTCTATGACTCCAGGATAATAAATGGCGTTTGACTGATAAATAGGTAAAGCAAAACAGACCAAGAGGTGCCCGCACATTTTGACAGATGCCAATAACATTCCTAGCCCTGGCAATATTTTCAGGAATGTACACATATGCCATGCAAGGCATTCTCCTTTGCTGCCATGCCCCTCTGTTCCTGGAAATGCAAAGGGCCTTGGATTCTGCTAGTTCCACACAATCTGTTATCTGAAATATTAGGGCAATTCTCTTTATGGATCAGCGGTACTCATATAAATACATATTATTCACACTTACTATTTAGAGTGGACATGGTCAACTGTGACACGAGAAGTAAACATAACTGGATTTATTTCTTTAAAGATTGCAAATGTTCTTTGTATATTTATAAGAACTTGTCACTTCTATATCTTTTTTTATGAAGTGACTACATAAAAGGCTTGATGCTGCTGGAAATTCTTGCCATTTATGCCTTTTATGGTAATTTTTAGGGATTGTCTTTTTTTTTTTTTTTTTTGCTGGACTCATATCCAGGACTAAATTTTAAATCTGCTCAGACACAAAATGGAATAAAGCTAAAATATTTACATTATTTCTTAAATGGGAGTTATAACTTTATTGCCATATTCTCTGTTTTAATTGTCAAGGTCATAGATCTAGAGGCATATTTTAATGAAAATATTATACGAAAGCATTATTTCAATGGGTAATAAGCTATCCAACCTCTTTATCTTATGCCAGACTTTTCTAGCGATAAAGTACCTCTTCAGAAATTGTTTAATATAAGATCAACACAAATCTCTTGCATTTTAAATAGAGGAGCACAACTGGTGGCTACAATAGTGCTATTGGCTAATGGTGATGTTTTAATCATAACTATTGTAGTAGGCTTTCTGATAGGGACTGCAAAGTTAGGACTACTTTCTGTACCAAAACCTAAAAAAAAAACAACCAAAGAAACAAACAAAAAAGGCACCTTCAGAGGAGACAGCAAGATAGGAATCAAGTAGAAAGTCATCTCTGAACTAAATGAAGATTCATACAAGTATCTAAAAACTTCTACTTTTTTTCCCCCCTCTGTATAAATAATACTGAGGATTTCCTGGGTTACTACACTGTGGTTAGTTATAGCCTGATATTTCTTTATTTTGCTTTTGTTTTCCATAACTAGTGCCTATATCCTCAAAGAAAGAAATATTACTTTAAATAAAGTGCAAGGAATTTTCTTGTTTCTCATCCAAACCTTCATACGTTCCAAAGCTCTCTGCATTGAGAGGGCACAGTTCAACCCAGACAGACTGAAGAGAAAGGAACCGTATAGTAAATTAGTTTTTAAATAGTTATGGCTAATAAATGACAAGGGAACATCATATTTCATATGATTGGCATAAAAAAAAGCACAAAGCATCCATGGAGCAGATGTCTCTGTTATTGCCTCGTTGGCTGCACAAACCAATTTCCCGAATATCGATATGTAGAAAAGCAAAGCACTAAACTGTACATTTTAGAAAATATCACATCAAGCCACATAATGATTGATAAACCCCACAGTTTCCTGCTTCCCCCCTTTAGGGGAGCGAGCTGATTTATATCATGGTGGTCTCTGTCTGCATAAAAGACTGAGCTCTTGAATGCCGATGGAGCTGGGAGACGCTTTCCGACCCGTTCCGGGAGATGGAAGAGCTGTGGAGTCTGTAGTCCCTGCCTGCCGTCTGCCTCCAGCACAGGCTGCGCCACTTCCTCTTCAGCTCCCCTTGCACCTAGGTGTGAAAGAAAACACACGCCAAGTGAAAACATTGCTTTTTCACATAAGCAATGTTTCCACATTTACTGGCTGTCAAGCGCGGACCTCTGGGAATAACTTCTAATCAGTTTTTACAAAGATTATAAAATTGAGGCAAAGACAGTGTCTACAGTATGTTAGGAGAAACCCCAAGGCCACTCTCAAAATCAGATTTGAAGCATTCGCACTGGAACAGAAGCTCTTGGTGGGTAGCTATTAATCATATGTATTTGAAGCATAGAACCAAATGATTAGGCCAAGATCAGGCATTCCACAGATATCAAAGACCAGAAGAGAACTCCAAAGACTTGACTTCAATTCCCTGTGCAAGCAGATGTTTTCCTCAGGCAGATTCCTTCTGTCTGACACTGTATAATGTTTAAAGTACATTTTGCTTTAAAAATTGGCTGACATCAAGAGGAAATCCTTTCTTTTCCCTCATTTGCAATTAGGAAAGCTGCTACATGCTGAACTCTTTTGAGAATCTGCTGCTGTTCTACGGTGAGATTTGGTCAGAAGATTACCCCTAAACACTTACAAAATCATGTTTACAGCTTTGGATAAATTCCTAGATCTGTTTCACCTCAGTTGCACAATTCACACTGGTTTTAACAGGGCTAGAATAGAGCATATTAAATAACAGAAAACACCGACACGCCAATGCCGTCAGTTTTCTAGGATTTAGACTTCATTTAGCTCCTAACTCTCCACCCAAATATACTGATTTCTCCTATTGCATTCACACTACAATATATGTATTCTGTGAACTGGAATGCAAACAACTTTCTGATACTTAAGAGTGGAATTAGAGGGGAAATTATTTATTGAAAACAAAAATTACATCCTCAGGAGGAAGTGGAGAGACTTACTTCACTGTTCAAAAAGCAATACAGGACTGCAACAATCAACCCCTGCAAACAGATAATATTCATTAATTAGCACACACTAATAGTACTTAGTAGTACTAAGTAAGACTTCTTTTGAAGAAAAGCTTTAATATTTACCTGAAAAGATCCCAAACACAACTCAAATATCATTTTATAGTTATTGGAACTGTGATCAGGAAATAGAGCAAATACTGTGTAGTGAACTCCAAATAATGGAATAAGCAACAACGTCGATTTTGCAAGTCTCCTAAGTAAATAAAACAGAAAAAGATGGATTTTAATGATAAGGTCTTTTTATTAAGATTGAGTGTTGTTTAGATAAATCCACGTGACTTCAAATTTATAAACAATTATAGTAAGAGTCATTTGTATGTATTGAAAATTGTTTTCCTTTCAAGTTTGCTACAAGATTAGCCACATAGCAGCTCCACAAATGAGTGTGTGCAATTCCATGCTATACTTTGTCTTGCTGACCTAGTCCAGTTTCAAAAGCTGGTAAAAGGCTTCAGGACCTCTCTGAATCAGAAAATCTGGATATCCACAGGGAGTTGCGCTCTGCTACAGATCTTTGACACAAGCCAGGTCCCACCCCCTTTCCATGTCACACATTTTTGGATGGGGAAGCTGACTGTGATATTCCACAGGGCCGTGGTCTACAAAGCATCGCTAGCTGCCATCAGATCTTCTAGGCTATTTCTGAAGTACAAAGGGCTCAGAGTGGAAAGGGGCATTCCCTTCCTACAAAATCATCCAACAGTTCCTTTTTTTGTAAGGTATGATCTAGATCTTGAAGTTATTACAGCAGTGTCCTCAAGGGCTGCAAGCGTACGGTTAGCCTGCACATTTCATATAGATGGAGCATAAGCAACATCTAGGTCATGCCATCAACAATAATATCAACTATAAGATTTTCATCAGCAATTTTAGGTTTACTAACAAATCAAAAAAACTCCTTAACTATAGTGATGGCATTAAGCGCTTAACCTTAATTAATTTGAAATTTCATCAATTATGAAAAACAATTTAGCACAAGTTAAGGAAAAGATAACTTCAAATTATTAAGCAGAATAGTTTTGACAAACAGCCTGTGAAACTACTGGAAAGATGAATTGCTAATTATCCTTTATCTGTCACTCATGTCACTTTAATAACATCAGCTTTATACATTATACAGGGTCAGCCATGCATGATTATAGAGGTCTGGCATCAAAAAAAAATCAAAAAGCTCTTGTGTTGAGACCCCCAATTTATCACTGTCTTGAGGAATATAACTTGATTCAACAATGAAAGGAAGCTGTTTTGAGGCAGTCCATTTTAACACAGAAATTAATGTATTTCAAACAATTTTATTTTTTTTTCTGTGTCCTCCCTTTGCTCATAATATCTCAGAGACTGAATCTGCTTATGTGGAAATAAATCGTTTCTGACAGCAAAGTTTCTCAACAATAATAAAACCCTAAAGGTGATATCAGTAAGTGAGAGAAATAGGGTTTACTTGGCAAAAGAAATTCACTGTAAGAATTTACAGCCGGAGGAAATCACGATGGCAGCAAATTTTCTTGTTTCCCAAGTGAAGTAGAAAATTGATTTTGTTTTCAGTTTAACCTTTCCCAGTGCAAAAGTAAAATTAAGAACAAGTATGGAACCAAGTGCAGGTAGATGGGAGAGAGGAAGAAAAGAAAAATGGTGATTTGCATGAGCACTATTTATTTTAGTCTCTTATTTCACTTGTTTTAACAAGTATGACTAGCTAAGGTTGCCTACACTATACTGCACTAACATTTTAATGAAGGAAAGATCCAGACAAAAATAGCTGACTTTTTTTTTTAAAAAAAAAAAAAGACCTTTAATTTGCTCTGCAGAGGCAGTATTTCTGGGGAAGATTAATCTACTCTTCCTATGCATATCTGCTAAACACCATCCAATTCAAATTCAATCAGACAATCAAATGCTAAAACCAAAAATTTAGAGTGCTAAACATTGAAGAACATGTTTGCTAAAAATGTTGGACTCTTTTACACCATGAAACTACAGGAAACTCTGGAGAATGATGGGCCTGCTATGAAGAGAATGCCTCGTTTTCATCAAATACATAAATACCAGAGGAAAAAAAGAAAATTTTCAGCCACAAGATGTAAACTGCAGCAGATTTCCTGCTCATATGTCAGATATTATGCTAAATAATAAGGTGGTGACTGCATAATTTCATCCAGGTTCACTTATCTTTCCCATATTTTCAATTAATTCAAAGAGCAAACACAAAAGAAACGATGCATCTCTCTCCAGCCCAGCTCTATGCCAATCTGGTGATACCCTTTTTTCGCTGATGGATCAAAATTATTCATGTTTTGATTACACACCAAATTACATGTCTATAAGGGGAATATGCATTAGAATGGGAATAGGAATGTGTGTTACTTCCTTCTGTACTAGACAATGTCTACATGTGGGCTCTAAAAGAACTGTAGTGCCCAAAGACTTGATTCTAGAAAGCCGTAGGAACAAACTATCACAATAAATGGCAAAAAATAACATGACAGCATAATAAGGAACAAATTCAGTTTGAGCAAAGTATGGAAATTCCAGCCCCACAACATTCACTGATGATGAAGTATTGTATATAATGGATACTGATTTAACGATCAAGCAAAAAAAATGGTCAGAAAAGGAAAACTTAGATACAAAACAACATGATCAAAATTTGGAACTCAAGCTTGTTGATCTTCATTAAAATTTCACTGAATCTGACAAAGTTTATGTTCATCTCTATTTCAGCATTTTTTTTTATTAAAACACATCTAAAAATAGATCTTTGGAATTAAATGCAATTACAGTATCATACCAATTGTTGGCAGCAGGCTTCAGCAGAGTAAATCTTGTAGAGATTATTTTCGTCCTGTATATAATATCTAAAAATACAACTCACTTGTACTGTGATTGGTCATTTCCTCCAACATCAGGAGATCTTAATTTCTGCAGTAAGATTCTTATAATACTAATGAAAAGTATAAAATTCACCTGCAAGAAAATAAAAAAAAAATAGTGATTTCTGACTTCTCAATTGAACATACAGCACGAGAAAATGTTAATTAAGTCAGACTAATGAACTTGACAGTGAGCTTTGTGTACTTGCCAGAACACATTAAGCTTTCCACTGTCAAAACTATTGTCTGCTTTCTGCTTCACTAACAGTTTCATCCAGAGCACCTCTGCATGGCCCCAAGTGAAAGGCCTCATTCTCAGTAATCCCTATTTCCCAAATCTCAGTTGCAGACAGGATTCCTGGCAGGAAGATATATCGGCCAAAAACTGGTGCAATGTACTAAGTTCTCAGGTGGATTCCCCGCTGGACTCCCAAAGGATAACGTGAGTCCTACTCTCTCTATCTCCTCACCTTGACTTTCAGTATCTTATCTCTGGAGTAGAAGACAGAAGATGGTTGCACAGGTCATCTGCCCACTCCCATCAAGCTTGGAGAGGGCTATTGTGTCTGTCTGTCTGTCTTGGGTAATGCTGCAGGTATTATTAGCTCTGAGCCATCTCAATCCTAACAATCTAACATTTCATTCTCATAGTAGTCCTCTGAACTAGATCAATACTTCCATTATCTTATTTCATAGACAGGGTTTGGAGGCACTTGGGTAAACAAGGCATAAACTTGGAGTTATAATTAGATCCTGATCAGTCTAGGAAACTCAACACTTAAACTCAGGAGATCTCAAATCTGACTCCCATAATATCTCCATCTTTGGCTTGTGGCATCTTGTGATCACCAGTTATTCTGGTGTTGGTTTGTTATCTGTGGTCTAGGATGCACCATGCTCATGAAAAAAGGTGTGTGGTATTAAGGTGGTGGATTCTGAATCCCTTGCACCTTCACGGCAGCAGTGTCAGCTAGCTAAGAGCAGGACTGCATAAACAGCTGCATCCCACTGTATATTTGTTAGCCACAAAGTAGGAGAATGAACAATCTTTACTCGGTATTTGCACAGGTTGGCAGAATAGCTTCTTGTTCTTGACAGACTCCCATCTAGTTTCTACCGTAATAGAGGAAGTTGTCATCCTTTTGGTTTTTGAGGCATCAACTCAGGCAGAATTAGACTCTAGTGACTCATTTTGGGCTGACATTCACACATTACATTTAAGATTGTTTTAAAACAAGTCTGTTTTTCTCTGTAAGCACAGTATTGGATTAATAAAAAATATGCATTTTTCTTGGAGCTTGTAAGTAATATTTCATGGCACGACTGGGTTTGTAAATCCAGCCAGAGAAAGCTGGTGTTAGGCTCTGAAGGTGGAAACTACCACTGAGTTGTTACAGTACAGCAAATAAATTTCTATAAGGTTTTAATATGTTACTGATTGTCTGTTAAAGTCCTTTAGAATATATATCTGATTTAGAATAATACAGTTCAATGAAACATGAAACAATCAGTACCGTAAGATTTTAAGATGTGGTGGTGCTTTTCTTCACTAGCTGACTTGTTCTAACAGTAGTTTTCAAGTCCAAACATGTTGCCTAAGCTTGTATCATTTATACCATCTTCACATTGCTTCTCTTTTGCTCTTTTGTCACTTACACGAGGTGCAATGTGAAATACCATGACAAACATTTCTCACTTACTTTGATGTGACAAAAGTGTGGCTTCCAACCGAGCAACCCTTCCTCTCTAAGTGCAGTATACATAAGTATGGAGAAGGCAGCTGGGGTGGCACTAGCCAAATGGAGAACACAGCGGATACTCCAAAGCAAGTGCTTGAAAGAGCACACCTCCAGTTAAAAGACATCTAAAATGCGTACAACATGAAGTGTGGAAGTCTGCCAAATCACTTTTCGCAGGCCAAAATCGTTCAGAGGAGGCGTTGGGGAAGGCCTCTGATGCACTGAGTTAACTGAGGCCATTTCTGCATTCAGATGTGACTTCAGAAATCATTTCTCATGAATGCTGTATTTTTTAATCATGAACACTCAATTTTATGTGATATTTCATTGGATGCCTACTCTTACTCTGTGAATGTACATTCTGCTCAGCACAGAAGTAAATCTGCTTGGTATTCCAAATGCTACAATGAATTTGATGATCATACCCAATTGCCCCAAAAAGCTGCGTTACCTACGTGTAGGTAATTCAGGAAAGGGCTGCTTACAGATTTATCATTGCTCCCGTACTTCTGCATTCTCCTTTCACAGCTTAACTTTCCAAATGCAAAACAGAGTTGATCAAACAGCTGGGGAATCATCTAATCAGAGAAGTGATTTGGTATGCAGCATAAGCTGCAGAATTACTTGGCCATCTTTTGTTGCTCTCATCCCATGAACATACTGCTTAAGAGAAGAAACATCTCTGGAAGGAGAAAGCAGATCCTAAACATGTGCAACTGGCAAATTATAAAAGGTCATTTGCAAAACTTTTCTTTATGTCTCACAATTCCATTATATTAAACCAAAAATAGAAAAAAAAAAAAAAAAAAAAAAAAAAAAAAAGAGAGAGCAGAAGAAAAAGGAGAGAGGAGAGGATGGTTGTTCATCAACTGACTTCAGAAAATGATTCTGGTCCACAACTTGATATACCAGAGTATGCTGACGGACCTCTACTACATTTTCTTAACTCCCAACCCACGTTCCAATCTTTGCTAATATCCATCTGGAATTCAAGTCTGCCAATGAGGAGACTGTCTCCATGTCTGGGACTTCTTTGGAGAAGCACTGCTTCCCAGCACTAGAGTCTACTAGAGAGCTGTTGAAATTTAAGATCCAGAGAATAGGTGCATATCTTCCTGCAAACACCAGATGTTTATCATATTTTCTTCTTTTTGGACCATCCCACACTCTCCATCTCCTTTAGGTGTGTGTCCCCTTTTCATACTGTAGCTCTGTTGCATGCCCATTTCTTCATATAATAAAACGTCTTTTCTGTGAGTCCTTACCTTGTGCCATTTCACACACATGCCATACCCTACACTGATCTCTCTTTAAATTTTGTATGAGGATGATAGGAAGTTCTTTCTAAATATTTTTCAGCATGCTTTTTACACAAACATGGAGTAAAAGACAAGTCCAAGTATAAGTCCTGGGTTAACTTGGACTCTCCTGAAATCCTGTGTAGCTAATAATACAGAAACTTTTCTGACTGAAGTGTACAAAGACCAGAGCAAATGTATCTAAAATACATTAATTTGAACTGTGACTGCTTTCACAAACTTCTTGTAACGACAGTATATTATGCCCAATGCAGTAATTTTATTATGCTACTCCAGTAATTCTGATGAGCTCCACACAGGAGAAGAAACAATGAAACATGCTCAAATGTTTGAAAGTATTTCACATTCAATATATATTTCAGGCTCTCAATTAAAGAGGGATATACTCAGCTGAATTTTATGGCTGCAATATCTTTTTTTTCCTCAATTTCAAGGCTATCTATTTACATGCCAAATCAAATTCTCAGTTCATTGAAAAGTAATCAGATTTTTGCTTCTTCCAGGCAGGGAAGATTTTTAGGAAAAAAACAATATACAAACAAAGGCAACTGTTCATTTAATAGGAGGCAGACAAATTTTTAAGTCAACAAATTTTAATGAGCTTTGGCATCTGTTTAAAATTTCTCCTACAGCATAATTTATTTTCATGAAAATAGAATTCTTGCCTGTCTGTAATGAGCAGTAAAGAATAATGGCTATATGTGCTGCATAGTGCAGAACTGATTTATAATTCATGCTTCAAAGTTTACTTACTATAATAGAAATTAATATTGGTATTCGTATAACCCACCAGGGAACACTGTGCTCATTTGTATCCCAGCAACTACAAAAAACAAAAGGGAAAGTGATGTTAACATTAATTTCATCTAGCAAGAAAAACCTATGAGGTATTTTGATACACAAATCAAAGCACACTAAAATAACACTTTTTTTTTTCCTGCTTCTAATTTTTACTTCCATGGTTTTAATATGCATATTCAAATCAGCTGAAACACTAGGCACACCAGAGTAGCACTAAAAATGATGGGGGCTGCTGCCCTTCAAGGTTCAAAGTTTCGTTTCACTTCGTGCTGAGGAACTTTTCCAAAAAGAGCTTAACAACAGCCTCTGGATAGCAGAAGATCTAAAGCAACTGACATACAATTAAAATGACATAATTTTCTTGTGGGGTTTTCAGGTTATGGATGGTTGGAACTGGCTGAGGAAAATGTGAGACTCAAGCTGAAACTTTGTCTGAAGAACTGGAAATTTAATTTTCACTGCAGGCTAAGAAATGGTAGTCTGAATACTCTGAGAAAAAATGCTCTGAATGATTAAACTTAAACAAGAACAATATACTCCAGAGTTGTTCTAATTGTTTAATAATGGTGAAGCAGAAAGGAATTGTTTGTATGTTAGAGAATTTGCAAAGAAAATCTAGAAATTTGCAGCTTTTTGAATTTAAAAGCAGAATCAAATAACTGAAAAATTTTAATCAGAAAAAAAGAAAAAAGAATATGAAAACTGTTCCACTAGTTCTTCTGTCCCATTCCTCAGTGCCAGCAGTAGCAAGTCTGACCTTCCAGCAAAATTCTTATCTGAGCTTCCCTTCTCATGCCAAGAACAGCCAGACCTCGCTCTCTTCAGTCATGGTTGTACCTGAATCTGCACAGCTTAGATAATACATTGCTTCACTTCCGTGAATGCAGGATATCCAAAGATTTCTAGATTTCAATCCCATTACCTTTTTGCAAATTTGAATACCAGTGGTCTACATGAGGATCTCAAAGGGGAACATTAGTCAAGACATCTCTCTGCCACTTCCTCCTTTTAAAAGTTCCAAATCAATAGCATCCACAAACTTCATGCTGAAGAGATTTTTGACATTTTCCACTGAGTGTCATATCTGTGAAATTTTAGCTTTCCTGTATTTATATCCTGCAAACTACCTTTCTGTGAACAGCACCACATGCTTGCCTTTTAGGCAAGGCAGAGCAGGTACTGATACAGTTGGGGACTTCAGGCTTTCCCTTTCCCACTACTTACCCAGTATCCTCTAATATAATCCGTGTTACTGTCCATGTAATAATGAATATGGTAGGAATTCCTATAAAAACAAAGAGTTTAGAGGCAGATTATAAGTAAGTTCAGTCTGTTTGTAACCATTATTTCCCAAATACACAGCACATAGTAAAGGATTTAATGGAGAGGCCTGATTGATTATGGTTATTGATTGAATGGTTATTCAGTGCTAGCAGTCTTGCTAACAAACACTGCAGGAAATATGCTAATTTCTTATAAAAGTGCAGGTATAATCACTAACAGACAAGAAGGTGCCTTTCTTGGTTTATTTCTTAGGTTTTTTCCAAGTGACCTAAAAGGAGATACTATACCCATTCCCAATTTAATTGCAAAAATTACAACATAAAACTGAAGGGTAAAGCATTTCATAAGGAAAGTCACACATACTGGTTTATTCCCAGCAATACCTAAATGTTTTATGACCACTTATTCCTGGAAGCTTTAAACTGCTCCATATATATGCCACTGCCCTGTCTGTAGATGAAAGGAACATATATATTTAAAAACCTATGGAAATATTTAATGAGCTTTTCAGCAAACACACACGGCATAGCATATCCTGTGTCCATACACAGGCCAAGAGCTTTCTTTTGTCTCTCAAATTAGGTCAACCTGAATTATACAAATCATGCTTTGGGGTGGCAGTCCATGGATCATCCTGTCCCCTGAGTCACCTACAGACAACATCAAGGAGTGCAAATGGGCATAGATGAGAGCCGTGCTAAGGAGCATGTGAATAGGTAGGTGATCATGGGCCTTGGCTGGCTACAGGCCTACTAGTAAATTGGGGGATGAGAACAGAAACTGCATATTGTCTCATTTGAAATACTGGCCCTAACTAATACAAAGGTAAAGAAAAGAGGCCGTTATTGGAAGTTACTTAAGTTCTTACCCCATCCAATCAGCAGGTAGACTGTGAAATGTCTGTTGGGGGAGAATATTAACACAAGGAGGATGTGGAGGTAAAGTCCTTCAACTAAGAGCCAGTAAAAGTTTGCCATAACACCATACTGAAAAAATACCAAAATAGCCTTGCAGCCCACCTGAAATATGAGAACAGGGGTAAAACTTGCTGCACAAAAGATGCTGTATTATTTTATTAGTAATATTTCCTATAAGTTTTAATTTTCAACATAACGTTTGTAACACAGGTCAAGCAGAAAAAGTTTTTCTTCACTTAGCCATGAAGGCAAATTGATATATTTGAAAGAATATCGTATATAAAAAAAAATATTATATAAGTTTTAGATGGCTTATAGCAAATTCACTCAGAAACTTTGAAAACATTATAGCAAAAATATTCTAGAAGGTGAAGGTGATCAATAAATGTACACACTTTCAACAGCTGATTAATGAGTGGTTGTCAGATTAAATCATTAGCTGTTAAACGGCTAATACATAAAAATCTAGCTGTATAAATTTTTAAAAACTGTACTCGAACTACAGAACATAGTAAAAATTAATGAAGAAACTGCTCTATGAATTTTTAAAGGCTAGAAAGGAAACAATGAAAATCTAACTTTTTATCATGAATATCATCTCAAGCAAAAAGAAAAATTTGAATTTGACTTTTAAAAATGATGTTTTCCCTTCATAGAATGCTCTAGTGTTTCTCAATCAATAAGACAGAAGAGCATATATGATAAACTGAAGTCCCAACATAGTCTGTAGGCTGTTCTGCAGAATAAATGTTCAGAAGTTTGTGCTGCTGATCTTCCAAGGCGCTGGCTACTACAGCTTTGATACTTCCCAGCAGGAGTTTGGGAAGTAAGAACTGAACATAAAAATGCTTCTGCTGAGAGTGCACTGAGAAATGCGATGATATGGTGAATGCAGCCTAGTGAATTAAATATTATCCAGTGATTTCTCCTACTTTCTGCTTGCTTTACTCTCTCTATTCTAAAACACCTTGTACCTCTGTTGCTTCTATTAAAACTCCAAGTATAACAAATGCCTAGCTAGGTATCTTATTCATTTAGTGATTAATTCTTTTGTTTGAACATAAATATCTACTATCATGTCAGATGCCCTAAGGTACTCCTGACTCCAGCTGCCTTTGCAGGAGGAGTTAGTCTCCCAGTCAATCCCATGCGAATATCTTGGATATCTCAGGGCATCCCAAGTAACACCATATGCCTATATTCAGGCAAGTAAATAAGACCCTAGGGCTTGAATCAATTTCACCTAATTTTAGTTCCCTAAAAGAGAGGTTTGTGGTCTAAGACAGCCACCTCCTAGCTAGCTTCTTCTCCAGCTTGAGAAGAGAGACATCTATGTCCGCAGAGAATCTTAAAATAGATAAGCTCTCTGGAAAGGACTGTTTCTTTCCCAATGAGACAGAGAGAAGCCCAGAGAAGCAGTTTAATCCAGTCATCCTGTTCAGTGACTGACTAATCTCACCACAAGACTTTGAAGGGATATCCACTGTAGAGTGGCAACATGCCAGAAACTACAACTGGGGAAAAATACATAGATCAAAATAACAGTTGAAGCTTGTCTTGATCAAGATCAACACTTAATGCCTACAATTTTTGTATTCCCTCTTCAGTTTCAATAAACATTTACCACAATTCCCCCTTTGCAGTACAGTCTTAACTTACACAGCTGTACCAGACCAGTTGCAGTTAGGCCTGCATCAGGTCTATTCCCATATGCTGAATAATGAAGTTATCATGTCATTAAAGCCAAAATCATGAATTTGTGTCATTCAGATCCAGGTCATAGTACCATCTGATTTTAAATTGGGTGGTTTTAAGGTTTTGTGCCTGCAACAGAGCTGTGAAGCACCCATATGGGCTGAACGGGTAAAGCCTCCATGCTGCTGAGTGCCAGAGGTGGGATCCGGGCAATGCTCAACAAAGCAGCTTTACCAAAGTCATTCCACAAGTGAAGCATCAGAAATTAGTCAACAGGCCAAAATTCAACAAATTCAAATAAGTTAGTATGAGGATACTGCCAGGAATAACCAGAGAATAAAAGAATCCTCAAAAAAAAAAAAAAAAAACAGTATTTTGAGGGCCCACAGACTAATCTTTCAAAGGCCTAAGAACTTTTAACTGCCCCCACAGTCAACACGTTTGCTTATGGCCCCAGTCATTACATTCTCTACAGAACCCTCTACTCTGACAGCTTAGTACTCCCAAATATTCAAAAGGTTTGGGGAGGAAAATGTGTGAGGCAACAGTATTACACCACATAGCAAAAGAGGTTTATTACCCATGAGGTTTGATCCTCTGGACAGTGAGCTGTGTTGGAGCTGGAATAGAGAATATCATCCTTGACTAAAACAGAGATTGCTTTTAGAATGAAAGAGAGGAACAGGTTCAGATGGATGTAGTTCCGAGTACAATGAAGTTTTCTAAGAAGAGATATAAAAATAGTCATTTTAGATTTCAAGATAGAAAGCCTTTTGAACAGACTTTTATTACTCTCTGCTTCTTAGTGATATCAACCTTGAGTAAGCACCTACACTCTTCTTCTCTGCATATTGCCAGTGCTGCCTTACCATTTTCTTTCATTACTATTTTCTGTCCAAAATATCCAAATAAAGCATCTCTGACTCCCTTTCAATATCACAGACCAAAAGATGCCAATGGGATTTAGCCCACACTTCACTTCAATCTTTTTCTTACAGATAAAATCTTGATCAATCTGTGTTTCAGACATGCTCTCACTTATTATTTTCTTGTTTGATTCCTAATTTAATTCCTTTAATTCCTGCATCTTTCCTGTATAATGGCTTTCCATCCCATGACAAGAATATATGTGAGAACAATTGAAAAATCTTGCAAAACATTAGATTGCCTATCTTTTCTGTCCAGTGAGATATAAAAATCCTCTTCTTTTGTCTAGTAGCCTTATGAAAGACTGATGAACAAATGAGGAATTTACTATTCTGATGACTGAGCGCTAAGGAGAAGCGATTAGCACTTGAAGGTCTTTTAAGTTAAAATACATTCCCTTCAAAATCTCCCCATTTAACATAGTTATGTTGTAGCAAATTCCCAGAAACCAAATTGCTATCATGATTTTTTTTGGTCAAAACCAGCACCTTGAACTGCACCTGAAAATAATTCAGAAGCCCAGGCATTTCATAGAGTATGATAGCAAATGATTGAATGAAGGTGCAATAAGATGTTATATCTAGTTGTATTCAGTGCATGTGTAGATTTGAACAGAGAAACACTGAATAGCCCATCTGAAACTACAAAGCAAGGCTAATTACAATGAGTTTAGCATTTTCAGACAAGGAACATTAGGAGATAAATAAATAATAGCTCCATTTTGGTAGCTTCCATGTTATTAAGGACAGAATAACTGGATAAAACTTATTTCTGTCGTATCAATGTCCTTCCCTGAACCAGGTTCTGTGAAAAAATAGAGCTATCACTATTATGTTACATGGCATTATACGCTTCTATGTAACTCAGAGATACATGCCAAAGAGGTGTGAGAGCAAAATATTTTTCTTGAGTAATTAATTTAGAATTTAATATCTCGTCACTTTCAGTAGTTGAAATAATTAGAGTTTGATCTATAAAAGGCTGTCATATAAAAACTTTGGAGCTCCTGGGCAAGAAAGTATTTTTATTCAGTGTTATGTATGATGATAAGTGTTATTCTTTTGGAAGGCTTTATCATATAGGGCTATATATAGGGCTATACTATATATAACATGTATAAAGTTATATAATTCCCAAAGGAACTATAGTAAGAGCTGTATGGTATCTAAAACTTTACTGATATGTAGAAATATTACGTTCTACAATTTGTTTTCATTCTGCATTAGAAAAAAACAGCACGTTTAATATATCTGAAAAATACTATTTGTTGTATTTTGATTTCCACTTTTAATAACCTGTCCAATATCTTAGAACTTAGACATTCAAAATCAAGAAAGAAACTTCAGTTTCAAGAAGATGAAAGCAGCTTATTTTGACCAAATCAAAATTGTTACTTTTTATGTTTATATATAAAGTTTGAAGAAATCAGGATGTACCTAGCATTTGACAAATGGGCAACCTCAAAAAAAATTGCCGGAAGGTTTCCAATATGTTTTAATTTAATTATTAATATATAATTTAATATATTAAATAATTTATAAGTATTTAATCATAAATATAAGTACATAGAGTATCATGTGGGGAGTGACACTAGGGTAACTTGAAATTTTTTTTTGCAAGATATTTTCAGGCATTCATCTTCTATGTATCTTTTCCTTCTACAAAGCTTCTAAATCTGTTCTATACAGATATTAATAATGCGTATTCATAGTATGTTTCTGTAAAGATTTAAATCAAGTAGAGTAACTATCACCTCTAGAAGGAATGAAAAAGAGAATCTTGCAAAGGCATGGAAACCTTCAGAGATATGTTTCCTTTCCTAGTCCAATAGTTGTTTCTAGTGTGCATATAGCTGATATTGTAAACAACTATGAAGCCCTGAGGTGGTATCTGTTCTGCCTGACAGCATATGACAATATATAATGGACTGCAGAAATCCGTATCTAAATAACAGTTCCCACATCCTTCTCACGAATACAGTACCCACAGTGGAATTAAAATTCACTTCATTCTTTCATAAAACAGCACTGAAGAAAATCATGACTAAATAAAATATAATTTGAAGTGCCCATATACAAATCCAGCAATGCACAGTTTTAATAATCTCTTGTTTCACTAGTATCCAGCGTTCATATCTTAATTCTGCTGGATGAAGTCAGAATGTTCACTTCTCTACTGCTTTAGTAACTTCCAATTTTTAACACATTACCTAACTACCCAAAACTCCCTTAGTTTGATTTAAAGATGTTTAAAATCTTTGCTCTCCTCTTTCAACACAACAGGATGAAAGGGTGATGGTTATATTCAAAGGAGAGTGTCTTTGAGGAGTGAATGACTGGTCTTTACAAGCAGTATATTGGCGTCATCTACAAAAAAAGTGGGAACCTTTCAGGACAAACTCTACTTAGGAGAGGAGGTGTTACCAGCTGAACAGAGGAAAGTCAAACCTTGCAGGCATATCCCTATTTTCCAAACTCTACCCTTAAAAATGAACAAAATGTATGGGATACCCTATAACTTGTCAGAGACACGCACACAGCATTTTGTGTTTGCTTGTATTGTTCATATCTTACAATGGCTTCAGCTGTAAATGTCACAATAAACATTTCCTTGCTACCTGCTTGGGAAACTAAATATTGACTGGGGGTACTTGAAAACCAATATGGGGTCCTAATTTAGCTTACTGTGTTAGGAGGCCAATGTCCCTAAACTCCTTGTATAGGTAACAGAGTCTCCCTTGCAGAGAGAGACTTGGAAGACCTTGTAATCTCTCATACGAAAGTTTGTCTTTCTACCCACTAAATGGAGGGGTTGTGGAGATCAGCCTCTTAACCTGGATATTCAATTCATGTCTAAAGTCACAAAACTTGACTACACACCTGAAACTTTTGATCTACTTTTTGTACAATTATTAAGCATGCATTTATCAAGACATTTGCTATAAAACTGTAGAGATGTTTGTTATAAGTCTGTATAGATACGAACTGGATGCCAGCAAACTAATATCTGTCTTATTCTCTCCAAATGACTGACTTCTGCAGACAGAAAACAGACAGGTGTCTATGATACACATAGTGCCTTAGATGTGTTCATTGGGTTTTAGCAGTTTTGAAGATGACTGATTTGCTTGTAAGTCTTTTCTGGGATAAAGAAGATTACCATAAGAGATTCTATTCATTTTTTTTTCAAAGATATCCCAAAAAATAATCATGGGTCATGTATCTGCTCAGCATATTTAATTATTGAGACAATTCAATGACACTCTCAAAGGTTTACAGAATAAATCACAGGAATAGCTCATCATGCTCTGACAAAAAAAACGCAGTTCCTTGCTACTGCTACTTCGTGTATTTACATGCACATCTGTAGCAAACCCAGGTGTTGGGTTTTCTTGATTTTCTTACTACCTGATGGAGAGTGAGACAGAAAAGTTGTGTGAGGATTTTGATGGAGAATATGTTGGTTATTCTATTGGAGAGGTAGAAGTGAAATATAAAGGCATGAAGTTGGAGACAGTAAGAACTATGATACTGATAATAAAATTTTGCCCTTTCTTTTAGCAGTAGGAGTCTGCTCTCTGTAGGAATCTTATGCAACATCAGAAGATAAGAGTGCCATTTCTGGCACTGTTTATGCAAAACTTTGCACATCTAGCACTTTCCTTCAACAGAATCATCCATACGGTTACATCCCCACCCAGAGAAATTGGTAATTACCTTCAATTATACTACCCCTTGAGACCGCTCAGAAGCTTTTGCAAACGTGGCCATCCACTTGGCTAGCATTAAGATCAGCTGCCTACTTATATGCAAGAGCAATTCAAGGTGTTGATTTTGATACTCAAGTCAAAAATTATTTAATCCATTCCAAAATTACTATTCATTTTCATATAGATTGCAATGTCTGCAAATTATAAAGTGCTTTGAAATTTTTTATATGACTGGTGCTAGCAAAAATCAAGTTGTCACTACATTATTGCCAACTATTTAATTGAGCAAAGTATAAACCCAAAGCATTTTCCAAATATCAGACAACTGTTAATACTGTTTATCATTGTTCTTATTTACTCATGAAAAATACCTACCTGAAAAGACAAAGAATTATACTTCCTGTTGTAAGAGCGATCAGAGATACACTGTGTCCAAGGGTATAAATTGCTTTCACCCTTACGTAGAAGTTGACCTGCACAGAAAAATATATGCAGAAACCACTTACTGCTATGTAAAAGTGACTACAAAATGATATCAGTTTCCACTAAATATGAAGACTAAAAGACATACATCACATTATTTTCATCCCTGGGGCTATACAACATGAGGCGAAAAGTGTAATATTTTACTCCAGCATATTTTTTGCTTTACAACATCTCAAGCCAATTGACCTTAATTCAGCTTCTGAACCTCGAAACTTAAACACACAAGCTGACACAATTTCAGCTGGTTATTCCATGTCAATAAGGTCAAAGTAAGTATGAGATTCATAAACTTCCATAAATACTATCAAACTGGGAAGAATAAGTCACTGTTCGAAAAGAATTATGTCTGAAAGAGATAATCTCTGAGTCCTATTCAGCGTACTCAGTAACGCATTTATGTAGCAGTTTAAGTCTAAAGACATGTTTAAGTCCCTTCAATTTCCTTTTCCACATTACTAAATTGTGAACTAAACAACCTCTTATATCTTTAGTAAACATATTTGTTAAAGCTTGCAAAGTCATCTTTTCCACAAAGAAAAAGCAGATTAAGGAACACAGTCTGTTCATTAACTGCAGTTATCTGTAAAATTACCAGTCACATATTACAACATTAAATCATATTCAGAATGAGAATATCAAGAAAAATTATGCTAAATTATGTCAGAATTAAGTTGTTTCTTGACTTATGCTTACAACGAAGTCATTAGACTGAAATTACTTTCATGGAAGCTAGATAAAATATTAAAGCTGCAGACTTACTTACTATTTTACGGAATTAATGGGTAAGGTTTTAAGAGCAGTGCAGAACGTGCCATGTTATACAAACAGAATTTCAAAATTCCAACGAAGCGTAATTTCTGTCTCCTGCTATCCAATTTATGCATTTATTTCCACCTCTCTCTACTTGCCACACTTTGACTTGCCCTTCAATTCCTTGATAGAATGGTAGAATCATACTCCCCAATTCTGTCAATTCTTGGACAGCTCTGAAAGCAAGGTCTAGAGACAAGTATTTCAGAGCATTCCTATGCTTCTTTAACTGGCTTATGTCATAGCAAAAGGAGTATCAGCCAATCCTCTGGCAATTTTCTGAGGAATGAGAGATAAAACATTTCTCAGTGTCAATTACAACAGTCCATAACAGGCTTCCTCACAACACCAGGAACACTGCAAATATATTGGACACCTCCTTTCATTCAGCCTGATATCCTCTCCAAAATCATGGAAGAAGGTATTGCTTCATGCTTAATGGCTCAGCACTTTGGCAGCCTCATGTACCTATGTGCTTGTATTCTGAAAGAAAGGGCATTTTATTTCCTGACGTCTGGAGTTTCAAATAAAATAGCCCCTGCAAAACTTTTGACTAATGCACAGCAGTTCTACGATAGATTTATTAGTTGTTATCTTGCTGGCATTTGCAGGCCACATTAAAGGTCTTTCTACCAAGTGTACAAATATAAATTTGAAGCGCCTCTAAGTCAAAAAGTCTTAATACTCACCATGTAAATATTGCTTTTGAGGGAAATAAATGGCATTTGCAAAATAAGTTGCAACAACTGATCTGCTTGGTTTAAATATTGAGTAGAAATTTTCTTTTACACTTCATTGAAAAACCTAATTAGAAGAAGTGTCCTTTTAATAGTAACAGTGATGTTCAAATAAAAACAAAAATCATTATGATTCTGCAGAGCATCTATAGGTTTCTATAGGTACACAAAAGCCATGCACAAAATATCTACTGAGAATGAACACAGGGACGACTTACACCATTCTCATTTTCTTGTCCTGGGAATAACTAAGTAGCTTAACAAATCCTGACATGGATACAGGAACCCCTGGACTCCTGTTATCTGTATTTGTTAACAGCCCTTGTAGGCAAACCAGGAGCTCTGATGTAAACTGTGTCCTGATCTTTCAAAGTTCCTAGCAGAAATAACTTCCTCCCTCCCAAGAATAGTCTAAGATTGGAATCTATTCAGGTTTCTCATTATGTTACAAAAACTTAAAGCAGCTGTACAGTCTGTCTCTGCTACTGAGTGGTCAACATGCAATACGAGTTATTATAAGATCTGCTCCAAAGAGAGAGTCTTTGGTTTGTCTGCTTAAGCAGAAATAACTCCAACACGGCAAGCATATGCACACTCATGCATCACGTATTAACACAGAACTAAACTGACCAAACTGTACGCTCTTGTGTAACACACATTGTCTCTATATTCCACACTTAAGACTACCTCCCACCACCTACCCATTAGATATCCTAATTTCACTTCCTTACTTCTCTCAAAACTCTCTTGTGTTCATTTCTCTCTGTTGACATTTGCCATGAACCCCTTTTTTAATAGATCTTGTAAAGAACTCTGCACGCATGATACACAGTAAGCATTAGCAAGCTGGCGTTCTAGAAACATCATTATTCTGATGTGGGGATGCATAGAAAAATTGAATTAATAAAATAAGCTTGCTTACAATAAAGTTGTAATTAGAATTACAAGAATATTATAAGAATTATTAGAATAATTTTTAAAATAGCAATTTTGTTTATGTAGTTCTGCTGCTAGTGACTTCCTATTCCATATTTTCAAGAGAAATCAGAGTCCAACAACTACAAGAAGTAATTTAAACTTGCACATTTTCTTTCAACAAGAGAAAGTAGCTATTCTTAAATGTTTGACATTTTTGAGAACTCATTACTCAAGTACTTGGCTTCTACCTGATACTGAATATAGCATTAATTTCTCAAAAGTGAGTCATAACATCCTTTATTATTAATTCACACAACTGGTTTCTGCATTCACTGCTTGGAGTGGATTTTGAAAACTTTGTTGTGCATATGAAAAAAAATCCTATCCTTCTGAATGACTCGTCTAGGTTTTACAGCATATAAAACCTATTGCACATATTATTACACATGTAATGATGCAATTAAATTCAGGTAAGTTCTATCAGCTCCATGTCCTTAACATTTAATATTAATGTTTTAAATCACAGTCAGTCAAAATTATGCATTTTATTGAACAGTAGAAAGTACTTCTATTCATTGACACTCATCTTCTCCATTCAAATACCTAAAGGGAACCCAAACACAGGTTAATCATATTTTAGTTAAAAACAGGTAAACAATAACAAACCCAGCATTAAAATGCCTTTTATTTTGGTGGCCAAACTAATGAAAGTGCAACTACAAACTCAGAGCACCGAAATGAACATGCTGGGTCACATACTAGTGGATTTCAGACCCATACATGGAGTGAGAGGAGCTTTTCTTGCAATCATGGATGATAATTTGTTACCAAGTGAGAGGGGACAGAGTTCTGTTCTCATTCTGCAAGGATCCACCTGTAACATGTGACATTATCATCCAATTTACCCAAACTTTTTGACTTTCAAAGCAACATCCCTATTAGCTCCCTTCCTTCTATAGCCAGAGATTCTGATTACAGAATCAAGATCTGAGAAAATGCAGCCAAAAGAAACATTCAGCTCACTCTTCAGGATACATCTCCACTCGGTACACACAACTCCATGGGCCTAGCAAACAGACTGTTCTTAGTTGCCTACATGTAGCCACCTACTACTACGGCATGCCTTTGACATCATCAGAGGTGGCAAAGGGCCTCTGCACTGCAATGGCAGTGGCACATCAAATGGCACTGGATGCCTATGTTTAAGCACTGGATGCCTATGTTTAAGCAACCACACCGAGTGTTTCCGCATACTAGTGATCAAGTAAAGATTAAGAATTTTGATCTGCAGGTTCAATTTCATCTTTTTTTCAAAAAAAAAGTCTAGTAAGTATGTGCATAATAATAATTGAAAAGTATAACAGTGGATTGTGCTAGCATGGACAAGACTGAAAGACCAGAAACCTGTCCTTGCACCTGCTCTCATGTTCTGAATATGGACGAGTCAGTTCCTATGAAATAAGAAAACCTGTCACGTATGGTGAAATGTTTCACGTTTGTCTTCTATTCTGAATGGATAAGAAAAATCTGTTGTCTTCTGATCATTTTTCTGAAAAAGTACTGCCTATATTACCATATAATTCTCGTCTATGCATTGCACTTCCTAGAACAGTAATATTTCTTTGAAAGATCCGGTATACAAGATCCAGAGAGACTGTATATTCTTCTTATTTTTTTATGTCATAACTTAGAGGTATTTGTTAAAGAAATATGTAAATTGACTGGTGCCAAGTGTATTAAATTTATACCCATGTTTAGTCTGCATTGTCTTTGTTTACTTTTTCCGTATTTGCCCATCTACTTTTCAGAACGAATTGCACTAATCCTACATTACTTTCCTCCCATTATGCTTGTCCTAGACACAGCATCTATTAAACTTTCATAAATTTAAAACACAGAAGCAGTGGATTTACAGACTCTAATCAGCCACGGACACTGTAGCCTTCGGGTCCTATGCGCCCTGAAGTTTATAGGAATGATTCTACACCAGAAATATTATTAGAAAACTTCAGCCAGATCAATGCATCAAAGAGAACCTTGATCGTACTTATACATTCTGCTTTACTTAGTGTCAAGAACAATTTGAACTCAGCATGTCTCTTACTTTCCCTTTTCTTGGAATTTGGTGGGATTCCACAGCACTGAGTAAAAACATTGTGAAATGTATCTGCTTTATGTAATTAAACTGAGCATTTTTTTTTCCCTTTTGGGGGAAAAGGTTTTTGGATATGTCTACAAAGTTCATTTTAGGATAAGCAATTTCACTTTCTTGTAAATGTTTTCAATGCCAAGGAATGTAAATTTCCCATTTACTTCCTCCAAGAAATTAGAATAAAGTGCAGGACAACACAGTATAGTAGAAAATGATGAATTTTGTAGGTGTGGATTCATCTGGACCAGATATCTAGATTGTTTTTATAACCCATGAAGAGAAGCAGACAGAGGGTGATTCATGTCATCCTAAGTGACTCATATCATCTTAAGACATCCATCTAAAGCAACTTAGAATGATAATGTTGGTG